GGGATCCGGTAACTTTGTCTCAGATTCTGAAACAAAATTCTGGATTTAGTTCATGATGCAATGATAATTATAAACCTTTAGGTCAGTCAGGAACCCCATGACTTTTACAAGCTGATCGCCTGTCTGATTATCAAGATATTTATGATTGGAATTACAAATTTTGAAAACCGTTCGCCTGACGGTTTTCATAACACTTCAGTCTATTGGGAAAAACGAGTATGGTAAAACCGGTCACTCAAAGATTTTTACTTTTTTGAGGCACTTCTTGATCATTTTGAAGCGCAATTTTTTTAGGGCTTCAATATTACACCATATCACAGACACTGATAACACGTAGGGCCGTGTATCTCAGATTTAACATTGTTAAACGATCCCTTTAAGGGGTGGCAGAGGAGTGTGTGGACCTCAAAGCCAATGTGAATAGTAACACTGTCACTTCGGTCCATGATTGGACTGTGCGAAGAGGGTTGAGTCCAGACCAGGGCCCCGTAGCACAAACTTACTATTGATGGTAACTTTGCCATCAATGATGACTACCATGGAAACCTTGATTTTAATTGGCTGTTGAGCCCTGTTACCATGGTAGTTGCCATTGATGGCAAAGTTACCATCAATGATAAGTTTTATGCAACGGGGCCCAGAAGTGGATTCTATGTAATCTGAACTGTGTCCGGCCGCACTTGTCAAATGGATTGAGATATCTCCTCATGATTGTGCTTTTAGCTTTATGACAGGGGTGCCAAAATTAAAAATCAAAAATTAAAAAAAGCATAGTACTGTAGTAGATTTGATAGACCAAATCTCAAAAATGAAGTGTTTCTTGTCCCCGCTGGCCTCCTTTTGGGCCGCTGCCTCCATTTTTGTTACTCTTTACTAATCAGAATAAAAAAAGCCCCCACCCCTCCAAAAAAACACGTTGGTGCTATATACGTTTTGTTCTAAACCATTTGTTTTGTCATACATTGCATCAGTATACTCACATAGCACAATATATGTGAATAAATAGGTTTGCCAACTATAATAAGTATTGCAGCCATCTTGAAAAAAAAAAGGAAATAGTAATGCCCTGCCTCCTCCTTTTTTTCAAAGTCTGGACAAGAAACACATTATTCTGTTATTTGGCCTTATTATTAGGCATTATTTTGTACGCAACCTTGAAAACAAACCACACAAAGTAGATACGATGTGCTCTAGCTTCAGACTTCAGTAATGGAATAAATATAAACTATAAGCTGGGTTTCGAGAATGCTGGCCAAATGAATACAATATACATTTGGAGGGGGGCAATGATATAGACTTACACAAAGTCTATGCTTCTTATGAAAAGGAAATCTTTTTCAGTATGTGGAAATTGCAGGCAATTTTATTAAATTGTTGCAAAATACTGAATTAATGGTCGAATTAATGGTATTGTGACTAGTTGCCACAAAATTGGGTAAACTACATAGATTTTATGTTGGTATTTCTGTTGGATGTTTTTAGATCACGTTATTATGTTTGAGCTCTAAATCTACATAAGAGAACACAAGTGCCTGGAATATACTTGTTATCTGCACAGCAACATATTTTACCACCTACACGCTTACAATGCATGCAACCCTGATAGCTCAGTTGTGTATACTCTGTGTGTGCGTGTGTACAAGTGTACGGAGATGCGTAATAGGCGCTGTGTACTGTGTGCTTGGGATAGGGGAGATGGTTGCTCATTTGCATACATGTGTACACACTGGCCAACTCTAATTAGCATATTTGAGGTCAACTTGGCTCCCAGCTAGCTGCAGTGTAGTGTTAGGCCTGTTGCCCTTATTTTCATCTGGAATATGTCAATACAAACATGAATATGAACTGCACTACTTCTCACAGAATCCTATCAGTTACAACATAAACAGATTTACAATATATAGGCCTGAAGAGAAAAACATATTTAATGGTATAAAACGCACATGTTTTATGTGCATGCATTTGAAGAAGATTGATAAAATATAGATTATTTCCTTTTTCCTTTTTTTTTTATACTGTAATTTTTTTTTTTTGAATAACATTTTCAAACAGGCCTACATGTATGTGCTATAATGTAAGGTCTCAAACAAAACAAAACAAAGCAAACAACCAGACAAAACAGTTTGAATATTATTGCTAGCATTGGAGAGACACCCATACAAAAATGTTGGTCTACATAATCATCGGCATAGATATTCTAATCTACATTAATACAGAGATGTTACTACAAGTTACAAATAGTTACTTAGAAAGAGAAAGAGAGAAAGAGAGAGAGAGAGAGAGAGAGAGAGGGGGGGGGGGTACAGGAGATTGAAAAAGACATTGGCTCATGCCTGACAAATTGGGCTTGGCCAATCACATCAAAATGTGTGAGAGAGAGTTATTATTAATAAGTGAGCAAAGAGAGAGAAAGCCAAAATAGGCCTACAAAAATTGTAAACTGATTTATATGTGTGTAAGATCTATAGGCCTACACGTTGGTGAACCGTGATTCCAATTGTGTCCTTGTCAAACTAGCATTGACATTCCTGTGCATGGTTAGAATGGTATGTGACATCACATAGACCCTGTGTTGCTACGTGAGATGGTATGTGATTGTAATAGTGTAAGGGCTCATGTTCACATACTTGATTTCATCTCGTACTTTATTTTCAATCATGTAAATATGTTTTAATATTTCTGTGTGTCATTGGGCATTATTCAAAGAGTTTTTATTTTAATGAAAATATTTAGCCCTCTACAGGCAAATTTATTGGATAAAGTCAAAATAATAATGAAAGTAAGAAACAATCATAACGTTACAAGTTTGACTCATTTGGTTGATATGAGGTGATTCTCTCACATTTTCCCAAACAAACAAAGACTGAAGTGACTGCCACTTAACAAATCATCTACATGTCTATGTACCAGATAAATTATAAATATATATCTTTCATCCTCGTAATATTGAACAACTTTTTGTTTCTTCATTCAAAGAATACAGGAAACATGTTGCTCAGCTTTTCTGAGAAAATCGACCTTGCATCCAGACATTATTTCTCTTTTCTTCTAAACCAAGAATTGTATTTCCTCTTGTAAACATAATCTGAAAAAGTGAACGTTCAATATATCCATTGTGTTGTCTCATTCCATATCTGTTTACTAAATTCACATTCACAAAAAAGTGCGCAATATATTATAACTCTCTTTTACAAAACAAACATGTTTCGTCAAAGAGTTGGTATATTGTTTATTGGTATAAAGTATGACAAGAGTGTTATTGATATTATTGATGACAGCCTAAATTGTATGTGTGCCTTTGTGTAAGATAACATTTTATGAGGATTTATCAAGAAAAGACAGTAGGCCTGTCGTCATCAGCAAATAACCCGCTATTTCAACTATCTCGTCGCAAATTATTATCAGCACGCAGTTGCAATTAGCAGGATATTTGGTTGAGAAAATATCCAGAGAAATCTTAGTTTTGTTTCCAAAATATCCCGCAATTTGGGAAATAGTGGGCTAATTTGCGCCCTCTGAGCTACAGTGTAGTTTGTGATGGGCATATCGGTCTGGTAAGGACACAATTTCGAGCTTCGGGATAATATCGCAAGTCTGAAAATAGCAGGTTATTTGGCAAACTCGAGCTGATGAAGACAGGCCTATTGTGATTGCCTCCAACCTTGAGGTTACTTTTCTAAGCTTCACATGCTTAATTAGAAGACTTACTATTCTAATTTGTCAAACAGCAATTAAGTAAAGAATCTCTAAAAGAGCAGTTCATGTATATCCTTTTTTATCATTACACTTGATAGACAACACAGGTAAAATGGGAGGGAAAAAAGACTAAATTCAAACTTGTTTATGGTATACATGTAATTTACAAAAGTTTCAAGTTTTGAACAATGAAATGAAATAAATTACACATGTTCAATATCTCTGAAAAGCTATGAAATATCCTACAATTTGTTATGGAAAGCAGCTGCATGTACAGACAAGAAGTACAACAATTGAATAGTTAGTAACTTGCCTGTTTTTTGATCTCTCACTTTGAAATGAGTAACAAAATGTAGGCCTTTTCCCTGTACTAGCTACATGTATTCTCAATTATTTCATTTGTGTGGAACTTTGGCAGTGCGAAATCACATGCATGTACTTTAAAAAATGTATCACTGATACATTATTTATCTTGGTGGTTCATAGAATGAACTAACACATTTATTCAAGCATGTAAACTTGTACAAAACAAGGACAGTTTCATTGTATTATCATGGACTGTTCAATTGTAATAGTTTTATCACTCACTTAATGGCTGCAGGCAAGCAGGATAGTTTGTAAGAATCTCAAATAATTTACCCATTCACTTTGATACACAAGACAAGACAATAGACATCATAATAATACTCGGAATATGAGTCAAGTTGATCTACTTATGTTTTGCCATTACAAGATCCCATCTTGTAATACATGTATATCAGAAGTTGTGTAACAGTCGTTTTGGGAAAAGAGAAATGGATTTGACAACATATTTTCATTGCATTACACTGACAATTAATTTTCCAAAAATATAGCTTTTAACCTATAAAATTTCATTCCGACAAGCAGAAAAATTATTAAAATGAATTGCCGGAGAATGAACTTGAATTATTTGATTGTAATGAGAAAATGTACAATGTTTGTTGTAACATTATCAAAACTCTTTACTATATACACTGTACCATTCATAATGCATACCTTGAAGGAAAAAAACACCCAAGAACTTAAGTTAGATAATTGTAAAAAAAGTACCTTGTATTAATGGCTTGAGAATGAGATTGCATAATATGTATGAAAGTCAGCATCAGGATTGTGCTGATTTCATGCAATTCTGAATTACTGTATATCCCCTCCATGTAGTCCAGTCTTTCTGTACCTACTGCCTTCATAACAACAATGTCTCTTCTTATGACCCGTGTATGCAAGTGTTTATTAAACTAATACTGTATAAAGTTTAATGCAGGTAAAGTTTGGGATTTCTTTGGGGGATGATAAAATCTAAAAATATTAGTATGTTGTGGAAATATGTTCTTCAGAATTAATCTGTACAGTCCCTTGCTTTAGAAATATTGGTGACTTGAGCCCCAATTGAGAGTAAGGAAAACTACCCCCTGTGAGCTCATATTCCTTGATACAAACCCATGACTATTCTTCAATTTCCCGGGGCTCCAAACAAAAATTCCCCTACATGAAGCAATAGTTCCCTATCTGTTCATTACCTTGTTCCACAATTGGCTGGTGCGCACGCTTACTCGCGAGTGTGTATGCAACGAGTGGTGTAATTCACTGATAATAGTTTCATTCTATGTTTACACAACTCTGCACTGGTGAATATAATGGCAGCTCGGGCTTGTATGCTCTTTCATGATCATTACAAGCTCACCGTGTATATGTCCAAACAGGAATCAACTTCCCCGATTATTCTACCTGCATGTTCTCTCTTGTTCACTCATCGGGTACTTTTCCCTCTCTCCTTCTCTCCCTTTGCGCAAGTGTCCGTATAATTTCCCTGTGAGTAGGATGAACTTGCTTTTGTTCAGGCTAACTTCTGATTTCATTTGCCGTTCCAACTCTTGTGTCTACCGGACGTCACATTTGTAGCAGGGAATACTCTCTGTCATAAAACTCAGGATTTACATTAAATTTTTGGAAGGATACAAAGTCATTTTTGGCTCAACTTTGCATTGTTTTTTTATCAAGTGGTTACTACAAAACTGGTATGTTTGGGCATTTGTTGTGAAAAGTTTTTACTCTTCACTTTTTGTTTTAATTGTATTTCCTTTTAGGTCTATAGTTAAAAACTTATATTTTCTATAGAGTGATATGTAAGTGAATTGCATATCCATGTTGTAACTTTCCTGCCTGGAAACTTGAGCTGGTACTTTTGTTAATGTTAACTCTGCAAATTTGATTAATCTTGACAAGCTCATTGTTTCTCAATGTCGACATGTCCGTCCTGCCAACAAGTCATTACTTATACCATGCACTGTGATAGCCAACTGACAACCCACATATAGTAGAGACAGTAGAGAGTCGGTCCATCTGACTAATGTTCGTCATGGTATGTATGCTATATGAATTAACATGAGTCATAGATGACTTGTTTTGGAGTTTCTGCATTGTTCTTTGATTGGGGTTATGGCGACCTATAGGCCACAGTGTGACTGGTAAATTGCACCATTCAAGTTGTTGGAAGTTTGTTTGGAAGGGGGTTTTCCCTTAATTCTGTGTGCACCAGTTGTATGTTCCCTGATGCTAAAATAGCGCGATCTAGACAGACCTATTGCAGTCACATAGGAAAGCACATATGGGCTTCATCTTGACCTTGTCTGCATAGTATATGTTGTACATGGAAAACAGACAAGCAAGTCTTGTCACTAAAATGTAAAGTAATTTAATTGTTTATCACTTAAACTTAGAATTTTTTTTAATGAAACGCTGCAACAGAACAAAACTAATTAAAGTAATCTTGATTTGTACTGTGGTGCAATCAATTCCTGGCTGATAATGCAAAAGATATCTTGAAAAGTTAGATCAGACCTTCAACATTTTTTTCTTTTTCAGGATTTTGAAATTGACTGATGAAACCAGGCCTGGATGAAACTGCTTGAAAGAGCATGTTAAAAGTTCAAGCTGGGCACAAATAGGAGTCTGTTGTTCATTTGATTGTTTTTATCCTTATTTTCTGAATTCATTGACACTTTGAATCAATATTCAAGAATTTTTTTTACATTTTCCAAGCAATTTTATTTCACTCTCATTTGAAAAGTATTTTAAAAATAAAATCTAGTTTAACTTTCAATGTCATGGGTATGATGGATTTTTGTCCGTGAGCATAGAACAAAGGCCTGTAATTTAGAGTGAAACTGATTTATTTTCATCACTAACCCCAAGAGAATATTCATACTGAATATTGATGAATTTGAATTTGAAGAAATTGTTGTGATGGCTAAATTTGAAGAAGGTAACGTTTTACTTTCCTAAGAATAGAGTCTTGACTTAATGACTATGTTGTGATGATATATGGTAACCCTTGTGAGCTCAGTGAGACTACTATCTTCATAAGTGTGGACGGCTGTATGACGCTCTTAGTTCCTGAGCTGATGACTAGATCGTCACATGCCTGGCACACGCCAAAAACAAGAAGTCCCAGCCAAAGTATATATTCATATTTCCATCATACTACATAATCCTTTCTACGTCAGTTCTGCGCCCTAACTCGTACACGTAAATGTGTGTGTATGGTGTGAGAGTGTATGAGATAGACAGTGTGTGGGCACTTGCACGTCTTTGCTCTGTTTCATATGCTTGCAACTATTCTTGGAGATTGCAGACTCTGGTTGAATCATCAAGATATGTTCACCAGAACCTCTTTTTTTCCTGTTATGTCAATTCTTACGTTTGCATGTGGTATGGGTATGAGTGTTCCCAAAAGCCATGTAAAATCAAGTATCATCATTCCTTAGGAACAGCAAAATGACAAGAAAAAGAGGTGTGTGCCTTTGTTCTGTAGTTTGTTCATTTTTTTCACGTTGACTAATGGAATCAAAGGGTCTGCATTGAAAGACTAGATATTTCCATTGTACGTAGTTGTCTCTTTTTTACGGTGAATTGTGTGGGAGTTCTACCTACAGCCAGCCAGCGCATGAGCAGGAGCAACAGCTTTACTCGTCTATATAGTTCAGGGCGAAGGCAGAATAGTAGAACATTTGCAAGTGAGTCGTCATGAGTGTAACTCGCTCTTTCTCTCTCTCCTGTGCGGCAGTCTCACATAGAGAGCCAAGGATATCGTTGGGCAATGTTATTTGTCATGTTTGTGCCTCATAGGAGTGGAATAATTTCTTGTAATTGCTGTTCTGTGGATAGTATCTATACTTTCATACTTTCTTCGTGATGTCATTTACCTGTCGTGTTTCCTGATGAACAGCTCTCCGGTTTATTTCTCAATGTTTGTATTACTTCACTAATTGTAAGTGTCAAGCCCTATCTTTCATTTGAATCTGTTCCTATTTAAACTTATAGGCCAATCACCAATGACTAGTCAAATATGATTTTAATTCTGATTTGATAGTTCGATGAAGTGATTCTGGTTTTAGTCAAGTCATCAGACATGACTTTGACTTACCATAAACTGAGCTTTGGCAAGATAAATACTCAGTTGAATCTAGGAAAACTGTATATAAAAGACATAAATTTCTATTTCCTGTAATTGCATGTCTTCATGTTTGCCTTTACCAATGTGTTTGCTTCCGTTGTGTACAAGGACATAATTTCAGAAGGAAGCCCACATATTGTTTTGAAAGAATCTTTTGATACATTATTTTCCTTGATGACGAAGTGTTCCTGTTATGATCAGTCTTAGACAGAAGCCGTATGAAGATCTTATATATTTGCACATCAACAAAAAGAACTTCAACAGTTTGTAATGCATGCTACGTAGTGAAGATAATGGGCTAGAAATCATTAGTGTAATGGTATGCTGTCTGTACTTTTTAATCTATCTCTATAAGCATTTTAAAGAGGGAGCAAACTATGATGTGATTGGAGAAAAGTTATACAAATTTCTGGGGTAAAAACATTAAATTACCTACTTGGCTTGCTGTCAAGTACTTAAGCAGACTTCGGTTAAAGAATGGCGGGGGATTGTGAATTGTAGAAATATATCACACAATAGAAAGTGAGTAATAAAAAGCAAAATACATCTCATTGTTAAATGTAGTAATGTACATACATGTTGCATCACTTTTGCATGGAATGGTATTGAGAATTTGTCTCAAGTTTATGTTTTGAAGACATACATGTATGGTAGGCCTATTTGTCCACTGTAGAGTTACAAATATAAATATACAGGTATAGATTTACATGATACATCATTGTGTTGAAATACCAATTTGCAATGTGGATATGTCTATACGTCTATATTGCACAACTGCAGTGACATTTGGGCATGAAAGATGAGTAACTTTATACATGTACATGTCAACCTGTATTGTAGCTAGGAAAACAGTATGGGCACACAAAGTGAGAGGATTCAAGAAATTAAAAGTCAAGAACAGTTTTCCAGACAGCGTTGACCATTGAGTACATGGTCATAATGTTGACACTGACCTACATAATTATGTACGTGTAGGAGGCAAACTGGCATTTACGGTATATATACTACTGGCATTCAGTCCTTGACCTGCTGCAGTGAGATATGTAGTTCACTCTGCACTCAGAGCAAATCGTTGTACTTTGGACAGGTCTGCTGTGTACTTAACAGATTTAGTAAAGCAGAAGTTCTGGTTGTTATACAGTTAGATGAGAAGTCACTGTGATGAGATATGAGTATGCATTACTATAGAGATTTATTATGTACATTCTTCTTCTTTTTTTCTTCTTCAAAAAATCGCTACAGTAAATGACATAGTGTTGTATGTGATGATAATTCTCTGGAGATCATAGTCATAACGTCTTTATTGCTTTAAAAAAAAATTAAGTTTCATCTGTGTGGAAGTCAATTGAATGGACATGGAACCGAACAGAAAATAGATTCCTTTCAGAACTACTTGCAGAAATTTATTGATTTTTTTTTCTTTTTTTCCTCTTTTTTGTTAATGTTGCAATTTTTTTGTTTTGCTAACAAGACATGTGTGATGACTGAAAGTATATCTTGTTATCTTGTCATTTCAGATCAATGCCTGGGCTGGTAGGGACCGGCACCAAGAGGAAGCGGGATGATGGTGAGGATGGTTTGGAAGGGAGCCATCGCTTGGCAACCTGTTCACAGGTTTGCTCCTACACCTTGCAGCGTCAGTGTGTGCTCAACCTCTCTGCTTGCAAACTACAGATGACACGCCAGCAGATTGAACCACCTTTACGCCGCTCCGTGCTCATATGCAACACGCTGCGGCACATTGAGCGTGAGCTACGAGCAGAGGGTCGCCACTATGACTGCTCAAGAGTGTCTATGCTGATCTCTAACCAACCACCCTGCATAGACGCACCCAACAAGGAGAGCATTCCATCCAGCCATGAAACCAGTAATAATTCTAGTCCTAGTCCAGCAGACTCTAGAGGATGTTTAAATGAGAGAAGTCGAGTAGCCAGTAGCGAGAACACGTGCCCTGCTGTGCAGAGGTGTGCGCAACCTCTGGCAGACAAAAGTTCTTTGTCGTTGAGCGACAGTAGACTGCAAGCAGACAGTGTAGAAACAGCGAAAACAGTTACAAGCCATGAAAATAACAATTGCCTCCCATCCATTGCCAATAAAACCACTATGCCAAGCCACCTAGATACAGCTCTTCAACACACAAATATGTTGACAAGACTGACAGACAAACTCTTACCTATCTCAAGAGATAATATCAAACAGGAAATCAACTCTTGCTTGGACATGACTGCGACTCCTACTCTGAATGCTGCCAGTACAGACATCATGGAGTTTGGTGATGAGATCTTTGGAGACATTGATGTCTCTCTGTATGACTTTGATCTAGCCCCTCCATTCATTCCAACCCATACACCCAACCCTAACCCCAAGCCCCCATCACCATCCTCCAACTCAGAGGACTGGATCAGGTCTTTCCAGGGGGACATGGTTGCAGGGTTAGACGTCGTCTCCTCAACCACTGGGGCTCAGGGTGGTAGCTGCCGCAGTGACCTCATGCATGTAGATGAACTGGATCAAATTATGCACATACTGGTCGATGTCGGCATGTGAATTCACCAGAGTATTTTTATATATTTTATATAAGTTATGCAGAACTTTTTTACTGAAAAATATTGTAAGAATAGAAGTAATATAAAAGTGAGCACTTATTTCAGTTGTCAGAGAAAAGGGGAAGTTATAAATAGAGCAGCTGGAACAAAGACAAGACATGACAGAATGGAATGCAACTCAGGTTTTTTAAAGTGTTAATTAGATATTTATGTGACAGAAGCTGTCTTCCTGTAATAGATATATTTGTAAAGAAAGAAAAGCGAATTAGGAATACATGAAATAGAAAGTTTATTAGATATAATAATGTGGAGTTTGAGGTAAATTTTTATGAAGTAGACCCTGTTATCTGTGCATATACTTTGGCTTTTGGAAGTTCTTTGTTTGGTATCACACACACGCACGCAGAATGAATGGCATTGAAAGCATTCATAATAGAAGCCTAGAAGGTAACTAGTCCAACCTAGTCAAGGACATTGAGTCTTTCTCTAAACTCACCTTCTTTGTCTCTTCCATGATTCAACAAGGCCAATTTGTTTTGCCTCGCCCTCAACGTAGATGATTCCTTTCAATTCTCTCCCTTTTGGGTTTTGGGTTCAGTGAAGAGAGAAAATGTTGACAAGAAATATTCAATTTTCTGTAATTTTATTTAGCCTTTGTACAAAATACAGTGTTTCGCCCAAGCATTATGTCTAGTTCAAACAAATACAAAATGGATCTTCTCTAATATATTTTATTTTCCAAAATCAAAATCAGTATTAAAGAGAAGATATCATTTTTTTTCAAGGTGTTTGGATTCTAAATTGATCTGATTTTTTCACACATCCACTGTATTTCTGCACTTGTAGCAAGCTAGGAAATTTGTAAGCAGGTCATAAGTTCTCCTCTACAAAATGTCTTCCTGTTCTGTGCTCAAGAATTTGTCTGTACGGATGTAAAGCCTACCGAGCTATCTTCGGCAAATTCATCAATAATTCATGAAAGATCTCTAGGGTTCCACGCTCCTGCGAGCTGGCTCTCCCTGTCTCTCTCTCTCTCTCTCTCCTTGCTCATGGCGGTTGCTCTACATAATGGGCGTTATGATACAGGAGCTTTGCTTGGCTTCAGTCTATGTTAAACGCTGAGGCATAGTAAAATCTCTAGTTAAGTAGCAGGCTAATGGAGTACATCCTGTGTTGTATAACAGGAGCCATTCATGTGCATGGTCGTCTGTCCAATCACCGTTATCTGAAGACAACCTGAAAATCATATCTTAATTAGTCTCATTGTAGTGATAAGTACATTCTCTTACAGTAGATCTGAAGATTTATACGCCTAGATGTACCTGCCTTTGTGGCCCCTTAACAAATAATGTTGTAGAATGTATATCTAAAATGGAGCTAAGACAATTCCTATTCATCAGCGTTTACCTAGTAAGGTGTTTCATATACAATACATGGATGATCCAATCCACAAGTAATTCAAACAAAAAATTTGATTAATAGATTGTCACATGCAAAGGTGAAAAAGAAATGAGAGCACATTATTGACCTTGTGACTAGGGATTGTGATTGTAAATAAATGTTGCCTGTCATGGCCTCTTGTAGTAGTGCAAGTACTTCTATCCATGTGATATGCCTGGTACAGTCTAACTAACAAGAGGCCTAGCCAAGCAACCATTTGAGGAAGTCATATGACCTATTTCCAGAGCAACCTGTAGCATGTCTAACCCCACTTTGGGGCCACTGTGTTGTAGTTTGGATTTTTAAAGCTTGAAAATAGTTTTGACAGCAAACTTACTGGCAGCTTAACTTACTTGCAGCATAGACCATGTCTGGCTTTTTATGGATGCACACCTAATTTCAAGAAAGCTCAGTGACAATATTTATATATTTCCAAGTTCAGGGATTATAATGCACTTGTATGATAGCTTCAACACTTGTGCATTATATTGAATAGAACATGGAAGTCAAGCTTCCCTGGGTCTTTCAGACTAATCAAGTTCAGCCAAATGGTAACCCTGTATGTAACAGAGACCCGAGTGAGCAAACTACCTGGGATCCATTTTGCATCCTTGTTTTTTTTTTTCTTTCTTAATTTACATTGGACAGGGAAAGAGAGGGGGAAAAGGTTTTTTATTTTTTTAATTCCTGATTTGATATAGCATAGCCCAAGTTGAGCCATTTACTTTTTACCTGGGCTTTATTTAGGCATTAATATATATGAGATAGGATATGAACCTGATCTATTTCAGAGGAAATGTATTCAATGAATAAGATCTTTGTATTCAGAGGTAGAGACTTGTGTCTCAGCTTAACAGACATGTGTGTGTGAAATTATATTATAAAAATCCTCTGACAATAACTAGGAATTTTAGATAGATTTGGGGATTCAGCGTATAAATTGATGTAAAGCTTATGTAACGTATGGCAGATTAGGTCAATCTTAATTGGATAGGACGTAAAGATGTTTGGTCTGACAACTGGAATCGGTGCTCACATTGTTGTATATTTATGTACAGTAATAATGTTACAGAAGATTTTCTATGAAAAACATATTTGGGCTTCTTTGAATACGAGAGCCAAGATTTTATATCAGATGTTTTATGAGAGTAAATGAAGTATTTAATTAGGTAATTTATGATACATCATCTCTTTGTAGGATAACCAGTCTTACTGTAGAAGTTCATTTTTATACAAAAATGATATGACATTTACAAGAAAAAGAAAAAGAAAAAGAAATACAGCTGACTCTATGATAGAGTCTTATTTTATATTTATTCCAATTGTGAATGTGGTCTTCGTCTATTTTGTTCCAATGCATCTAGAATTCAAACAAATTGAAAAGCAGTTCCATCTGTAATACTTAGATCAAAGTGTAATTACAGGTTGAATGCAGGTATTGGTATACTCGGCAGTATTGTGGCTGAAACCTTATAATTACCTGCCTTAGTTCAGAGCTCTTCAGAACTTAGAGAATCTGATGAGATACCCTTACACTTCACATTCTAAGTTAACGTTTAGAGCATTACCAAATTTAGTTTTAAAATATCTGTGTCAAAATTCTGAAATAAATTGTAGTTTGGACCCGATTCTGAAGTACAGCAGACTTGCAGGAGTGTCAGTATAATGTCAAGTGCAATTACTGTTGAGTTAAAGTTCTAGGTCCTGTATGACTGCATGTATTTACAAGTAGATGATATTATTAGTAAGACAACATTCACAAGTACCACCACTGGAAGAAACATTGTGCTAAGAGTGCTACTGCAAGATTTCATTTGCAGCAATGTTAAAAAAATACAGTATCCAGTCTTTTATCCAGTATTTGTGCTTCCTTTGAATTGAGATGAAAGAAAACATGTTTTTAAGATTGAAACCTTGCCCATTTTGTGTGTAAAAACTAAGCATTTTCTGAGTAAAGAAAATCAGCATTTATATGTCCATAATAGTATAATGGCTCTCAATCAACTCTTTCCAGTTCTGGACTTCTCAGACTGTATGTCAAATAATTTAAGGCTAGTGTAAAATAACTTATTGAAATGTCAGTTTCAGCTTCTAAATTAATTACTCCCTTCCAATTTTGTGTCATTGTAGTGGTACATCTCCAAATTCTCTGCTGCAATTCTACCTTTTTAATTTAATGTTAATCAATTGATGAATGTTGATAATTTGTCATTTTGTGAGTTTTATGGTACTGTTTATTTTCTCTTCCTGATAATCATGTGATGTGTTTGGTATCGTACTTTAACTGTCTGATCTGTCTTGTTAGACGTGATGTCTGTCTTAGAGTGTCCCAAACTCGCATGTGAATGTAACCCATCCAAAGTCTAGTACCTCTTCCAATGTATTGGTCATTTGGTGTCCCTTACAGCATACGTCACCAACTGCTCAAGATTTCTGAACATGAATTGACATCAAATATGTCTTTATTCTTCATACATTTGATCTGATCAAAGTTCTGCTTGGGCTATATCTTAAGACAATGATCATATACTTTAATCTTAGATGTGGTCTGTGACGTATTGGACAAAATAACGTGGACTTGCCCAGAAATGTATTTTGGAAGTCCAGTTTTTTTTTTTATTGATGAAGATTAGTTTCTCCCAAGGTGGAGGAAAGAACTGTATTTCAAATGTGCTGTAATTATTAGTGAATACTTGTTTTCTTTTTAATGCAATACTACGTTTCTCATTTGAAGGTAGTCGAGGTACATTCAAATTGTAGTTAATGTCAACAAAAGGTTTTTATTATTAGATCTAGTCCCTTTTTTATTGCTTTGAATTAAGAAATGATTCTCAATTTGCTGCAAAGTATGTGTGTAAATGCCAACACCACTTTGCATTGGTAGGACTGCAAAGTACTAAGATGTGCAAAGTAAGGTCTAATATGGCACAAAGATGGTGCTTATTGTAACTGAATTATATTGGTACACTCTTAGAATGTGTGCACGTACCATATATGTCATTGTTACATGTACTTCATACCGTGTTTAAATAGAAGAAGAGAGAGAGTTGTGCTTTGTGAGTCAAAGAAACTTCAGCCAAGTGAATGTATTTTGATACTTATCCTTCCTAATCGTGAGTCAGTATTTTCCTTTAACCTGAAATACTTGTGAATGGCAAGAGACTATGAGACCACACGTGACAGACTATGTATTACTTGCCTAAAGTGTAGGCCTTTTTGATATGAAGACTTTTTTTTAAGCGGACAGAATAATAATAAACATATCCCCGTTTACATGTGGTCAGTGCCATTTCCATAAGAGAGCAAATGAGTCAAAAGATGCCTGCATTTGCTGAATTGCCTTTTTTGTACACATTTCAATATGCTGCGAACCATTTGTCATGTAATCCATACTTTGTATCCCAAAGAAAGACGTCATTCAAAATCCATTTTGTTAGCTAATTTTTGAACAACTCTTGCCTTACAACTAGTTTATAACACCAATTAATTCCCAACAATAAAAATTTAAAAAAGAATGTTTTTATTATTCCATTTATATCCTGAATTTTTGAAAATATGCAAATTCCATCTAAATGCAAGGTAAATGGTTCAAATGCAACCTTATGTAATGAAAGCTAGGATTAGAACAAAGATGAATTTCTTTTATTCTCCAGATATTGCTGCTTGCATGATTTACCTCTGTTCAATTAAGATGCAACTTGCCATGAGATGAACAAAATTATAATATCCACCATTTTGTTTTTTAGTCATCCGAAAAGAAATTTAAAAATCACCAAAAAGAGATGCATTCCCCAGTATATTAAGGTGTACGTAATTGTGCTAATTTGAATGTTGATTTTGTCATATTGTTGATCAATAAGATATTTCTATTTATTTAATTTAAACTCAATTGAAGTAAGATGTGATCAAGTGTGCTTGGTGATGCCATTGTTTCTCACAGCCACATTAATTTATTATTCATTTCTACAGATTGGAAATAGAGAGAAGCCTTGGTCATATGTTTTCTTGAGATGTTTGTATATATTATGTTTGTACATTCTGTAAATTCAAAGATTTCTCTATTTCATTCTGTTCTCTATCATCTCTATACAGTAGTTATATTTGTATCTAATTTATTTTGAATGTTGATGTAATAATGGTCTGGTATGGAGTCAGCAAATACATACTCTGCTAAAACTGTAAGACATTTTTGTTTTGTACTTCTTTATTATGTTGTCAGAAGGCAAATCAATTTAAAATAATTATCTTGGGGGATAAGAAAGATTTATAGAGTTTCTTCATTTCATTACTGGAACGCAAAACTCAAGAGTAAAGCATTTATAATGAAGAACGTTTTTATATCAGCATTACTTTTTATAACGAAAAAGGGTTAGCTTCTTGTTCTAACAAGAATACATTAGGTTGTCTCCAGACCAGGCTATATTAACTCATGTGGTTCTCTTGTCAATAACCACAATACAGAAAGAATGTATAGCTAGATAATGTATCCACAAATGGTTCTTTTTTTCTTTTTCTCATCTCAAGCTATGGATCATTCTTTCAGTCCAAATTTTGTAATTTTTTGAATACTTATGTATTAAAAGTGTGATGAATTCTGTAAAAAGATAATCCTTGTTTTTTATGCCTGAATATATTGGTTTGTATCTTGCTAAGAAATGGAGTTGTATGAGTGGTGAAAGTTGCATTAATTACATACTTCAGAGCTGTGGTGAAAGTTGTTGGATTGTAGAGACCTTTATTCTGGGAAAGATAGTTAGGAATAAATGAGTTGCAAGGAGTTGTAAAAGTGGTAGAGAGTTTGATTTAATGCTGAGTATGATGATGATGATGATTAAAGAGTTGACACAGAAAGTCAGAAACCTTTAATCATTGGTGAGCTAACAAGAGACAAGGGTATGTAACTTCCCACAGCTCAGCACATTGCATTCTTTCATACCTCCACATTACCTTTATTTCTGGTGATGCTACAGCACGTCTGACATAGCAACTCTTATGTTGGTATTGTATGGTTTATTGTAAACAGGCGATAAGCTCTGGTGAAGCTACTTACCACTGTCTCTTGTTAGCTCACTAATGATGATGTCACAAGATGAATGAGATCTGGATCTTTTTTTAGGGTGGAGCTTAGCAGGTCTGAGAAAATTGTTTTAAACAATATTCAAAACTCTATGAAATATATTTAGATGTTTGAATAACAAAATATGAGTTGTATACAGCCTTGCAGATAAACAGGAATGAACTTATATTTGGATTTCACCCCACTTTCCATTCTTCCCAGATTTTTCTCCTTCGTCCTCAATATCTTCTTTTCTATACTTGTTCTTAGTTCTTGCCTCTCTTCTTCTCTAATCAGTATACGCTAAAAAAACGTTATTAGATGCATGTCTGTGTTACATTTGATTGTGATATGGTTTGAGAGGGGAAGGGAAAGGATGTACACCATTCGGATTGATGTGCCCCTTCTCACTTCCCCTGATGTAGCAGAGATAAACTGACTATCATTGGCGGATATCGCAATTTGGTAAAGCTGGCTCGGGTCAAGGTCATTTTGACGGGTATTCGTCACAATAATACTACAGACAGGAATGTATGATCCCTGAAATACAAATACTGTATAGTGGCATGCACAAAAACAACAGAGGGAATTGGAGACCCATACACAGACAGACAGACAGACAGACAGATACAAGCGGGCAGATAGACAGACAGAGATCGAATTGGGCGACACACAGAGATAGAGAGACAAAAAGGAAAATGAGAGACAGAGAAAATGTAGAGAATATGAGACGAGGGTTTGTATAATAATGATTCATTTGGAGAGGGGGGTTGTTACCAGAGAAGTTCCCCCAAATTTTCTCGGATTTTTCAACCTTGCAAAAAAATTGAAACCCATTTTTGCGATTTCCCACACAAGGTTAACTGTCGGTGTCACGCCCTCCCTCCCTCCCTCCCTCCTCCCTCCCCCTCTCTCTCTCTCTCTCTCTCTCTCTCCCTCCCTATCTCTCTCTCTCTCTCTCTCTCTCTCTCTCTCTCTCTCTCTCTCTCTGTCTACAGAGGCACTTCCTCTGTATTTTCATATATTTCTTATAATATAGGGCACCCTCGCCTTGGACATGTTTAAGGGTTAACCCACTTTTCACAAGCCTATAAACAGTGCCCCAGTTGAAGGTTGAAATGCCCTTCAAATATTCAAGATCAAAAGTGCCATCATCATTCTGTCGAAAGTTCGCTTTCACATTGAAAGTACACACCATTTCTATATTTAAAGAAAAACTTGGTAAAATTCTCCCCAATTAAGCTTCACAAAATTAATTTACGAAAGAAATATTTAGAAAAGCACCCATACCATGTTCATGATATTTCCCGATTAGCATGATTAGATGGGAATACACGGTAGGGCATGATGGTGCAGCTCGCCCCTGATATACTCTTGGTCGTTTAATTTAAAGTTCCTTTGAATGAAAATGTGATGAGGCAGGATGGGACATGAACTGTTTTGATATCACGTGCCTCTAGCCTTCATTCGTTGACAAATAACATCATTGAAATAACATAAGCATGCACAAATATCAAAACCTATAGGATAATGAATGAAAAAAAACATGATAATACAAGGTGAAAAGATAGCATAGTAAACTGGGAGTTTGGTTGCATATCGACAGATTTGAATCGATGAAAAATAGAAAAGTGGAAACTTCGTGAGTGATTACGTAATCAGATGAAGTGAATAGTGTTGATGTGAGCAAATATACTAAATCAAAAGATATTACATCGCGATAATATTTCACACTTCTTTTCATGAAGAAAGTGTAAACATATTATTTAGTCTCGATAGATCAATTTTATATCTTCTCTGAACTGTCTTGACCAATCTAAAGAGCCATAGAGAGTGATCAATAAAGATCTGAGAAAATATAAACTTTATCCATCAAGAATATTGTTAAAATCACTTTATGAAAAGAGGTACAAATTATTAAAGCTTTTTGGGCAACAGTGTATCTTCGCATTTGATGTGTATCATGCAGTGAATATTCCCAGACAAAAAACATCGTCCCATCTCGCCTCCCCCCCCCCCCCCCCCGACAAAAAAAAAAATTAAAAGAAATATGGAGCAAGATTGGACAAGACTGGAATCTTTAGTGGGTTTCGTTTTGAGTTTTGGTATTTTTCTTGTGCTGTATTTTCGACAAAGTTTGCCATTTAAATGTTTGAAGGAAAACAGTTTTCCATATCGCACCGTCTTCCCTTCTTCACTAAATAAAATACATGTAACTTAAAGTTTGTTCGGATGATTTCTAAACCTTATCAACGGTGTTGAAGCAAGAGTGAAAACTGAAAAGGTCTTAGGCGAGGGTCTAGCTCGATGATGATACACGTGAGAATGACTAGCATATTTACTTGCTTGGTGATATGCGAACATCCGTTAGACATAGGGTGAATGAGTCAGGCCTAGCTAGGCACAAAGACCCCTCCTCATACTTTCCTGTCAGCTCTACACCTGGTACACATATCTACCTTCAAATATTAGTTTCTTTGTTGAAATATATATTATGTGACCCAATTGCCCCGGCGACTTTCTGTTCCGTGAAAGATGAAGGGTTATAGGTTTAGGGTTAGCGTTAGGGTCACAATGTGGTTTTAGGTTAGGTTTGGGGGTTAAAGCCCCTATCAGGGATTTGCAAGTCCTTACAAACTTATCTCAACATTTATTTATAGTGACAAGATGCGTATTTGCGATACTTGATTCATGCAAGTATGTGTACATCTGAATTTCGTTATAATGTCATTGTGGATTAAGAGGTTTATTATTTTCATTAAGGATCCTTTATACGCATTTCCCCCTTCTACATTTATATAAAGTATTATGTTGCGAAGTAACGGCATAATGTACACGGTTCGGGTGCCAAACATGAAATTAAATGAAAGGTGGGCCAACTTTGGTCTTATATCAAAATCTTCAAAATCATGGCATTAAACCTCCGAGTTTAACTAATATACGAAGCATAAGGCATTTTTAAAACTTCAAATTGCTTCAGGATGTTTGTATTTCATTCGTTGTTGAGTTGTCTTGTTTTCTATTAAAGGTTAAGACCAGTATTGGAAACGCCCCAATTTCAAAAAATGAAATGGAAGCTCTCATTACCAATCATGTGAAAGAATATGTTTTGACTAATACATGATGATAACAAATTTGCTGGGAAACCGCCTACTAATTCATATATTTGGTAAATTTGTTTCTCTCATGGTCTGTGAGAGATATAGGGTAGTCCCATATACATCTTTCTGTGTATAGTGCTTGTAACTTTACGAAGAATGGGCCAAATTTCTTATCATTTTGATGATTCCAGAACCTTGCAGATGCTAGATGCTAGATAATCAACCTTTTCTGATCGATTCCACAACGTTTCTTTCACAATGCAATCGCATGACCATAACTGGTCTTTACCTTTAAACCTAGGGATATATACAGTAGCCTAACCAGAATGTTACGCCTGCAGGGGATTCTTAAAAAAATACCTTTCAGCTAACTTTATTCCCCATGTATATTAATTCACTGTAGCAATATAAAAAAAAATTCACTGTAGCAATATAGAAAAAATACTAATCTGTATTAGACTAGTAATATTGCATTAATGGAGAACATTGATATGATTCAAATATTGTCTTTCAACGCAAATCAAACAAGGCGCAAAACAGAATCTAAGTATAGGTCTATGTAATATAATATTTTGTACACACTTCAAGGGATTGGCATCCTGATTTGCAAAAGAGTATCTTTTCTATATTCCTTTTATCTATGACACCGGGACTTTCCCCTGTATTCCACGTTCAACATGTTTACGGAAGAGAAAGGTTACCGGAAAGGTTTCAAAATAACAACTTTGTGCGTCAGTTATAACCGGATACAAAAAATATTTCTACACTCATGTTGTGCATTGTATATATTTTTCTAATTAATTTCATGGTCATCTTTCGTTTCTGCAATAAATACATTTTGACAGTGAGAAAGTAGATTGGAAATTAGTCAAAAATGTGTTGATTTAGGTTTTGAGACTGTAACTTTTAGGGGAAGTAGGGGGCTGACGGCATGTGAGCAAAGGCAAAAAAAAAGGAGATTGGAGGAGCATATAAAAAGAAATAAATGCAAATCTCTTCATCTCTCTCTCTCTCTCTCTCTCTCTCTCTCTCTCTCTCTCTCTTTATCTCTCTCTCTTTATCTCTCTCTCTCTCTTGAGCTTTCTCTCTGTTTAGCTCTCTCTCACCCTCTCTCTCTCTCCCTCACTCTCCCTCTCTCTCTCACTCCCTCTCCCTGTCTCCCTCTTTGCCTCACCCTCTCTCTATCTCTCTATCTCTCTCCCTCATTCTTAGTTGCTTGGAGGCTAGGAGAGTGATTTTTACACCCGCAAGTCATTGTGATTGTTTGAGGTTTCCCTGCCTTGCAGGTGTCATTTTAGTTCGACAAGATGTCACAGCAGCGATTCCAAACATGGTAAGATTAATCTTGTCCTTGTCTGTTCTCAAAATAGTTTCAACCATGAGATAAAAGAACTATATTTAGAATGAGTAAGTGATTAATTAACGCTTTATCAATGTCAACACAGCGAATC